ACAGTTTGCATTAACAAATGTTTACAATGATAATGAAGGTTTAATTTAGAAGGCATTATCACAGAAAACGTTAGTTTCTTGTCGTTTAGAGAATTAACTCCCGATCGCAAAGTTAGTAAAGAACGCATTATTGCACTTCTTTGTGCGAATGCTATCAATTTTCAATTCTGATCATCGGAAAAAATAAACATCCATGCTGTTTTAAACATGACAATATGAATGTAATACCAGTTGTTTATAAAAATCAGACAAATTCTTGGATGAATATTTTTTTTTGTTGTATGGTTTTAAAATATTTTGATACCACAGGTTGAAGAACATCAATTAAAAAGTGGTCATAGAGAAAGAACTGTTTTGCTGGTAGACAATTCTAGATCACATTTTATATAAGAATTGTATTTTTGCCACGTAATGTAATTTCATACAGCCACTAGATCAAGGAGTAATTGAGTGTTTCAAACGACTATATAGAAAAGAATTATATAAAAGATTTCTGTTTACGTTTCACTTAAATGAAAAATGTGTGATAGATGCAATATAAAAATTAAATTTAAAAAACTGTTTTTACATGGTGGCAAATGCGCAGAGCAACATTAAAAGTACAAAATTGAAATAAGCATGAAGAAAACTTTTAATGCTTGAAGAAATTAATGAACAAGAAAGAACAGTAGAAGCAGTTATTGAAGAAACTGTCATTCCATAGTATACCAGTATGTGATTGTGACAGCAATGATATAATGCAATGGGTTCAGTGCGATACAGACAATAGCAACGATAAAGATAACATAAATTTTACACAAATAGAAGCAGCAAATAAAAGTAGCGACGAGGATCTTTTTACGTCGAAGCATTTGAACTATCACAAAGTACAAAATCACAAAGTAGAATTTATCTGTTCTTACTTTTTTTTAAAGATATCAATAATTTTTACAAAATTTAAATCTATAATATTTGCTATTATTAATTTTTAGGCATATATGATATAGTTATAATTTTATTTAAAAAAATTGATCTTCATATATAACGGACATCTTTATCGTATTCACCAAATAATTAAAAATATCAGAATATACATCTTTTCATATCATATCATATTCAATCTTTTTCTGAAATATTTCTTAATAATATTACGAAAATCAAAATGTTAAAATGAAGTAAAATATACATATCCAATGAGATGACTCGATCGTAAAAACTATAAAGTGTTTTTATTATTTTTAATATATATGTATATATATATTTATTTCTATGGGAAATAAATGATAAAGAAGAATAATTCTAATAATCTCTAGTCTTAAAAAATAATTGATTCTGTAAATGTAAAAAAAATAGGAATAGAAAAGTTAATGTTTTCAATTCAACGTAAATATGTTTTATTTTTTTAAGAAAAACAGCATAATTTTTCTACATAAGAATAAAATGAGTTAATTATTCTTTATAAATCAATTAATCAAAAGCATTGTTATTTGCAAATTGAATGCATCTGTAATAAAAACATAATTAGGATAAAAAATATGAAATTGATTTTTAATTACAGTTAAATTTAAAGCCTCATTTTCTAAATTCTTATAATGTTTATCCTCGAAAATATTGTTGTAAAAATCGAAATATTTAGAAGAATTTACTTCTGCTATGAAAGCCATGAATATCACGAAGTTTTTGTTTTTCTCAGTGAACAGATCAGACAATTTATTTATCGGTAGAAGAGCAGTAACATCAATCAAATAACCAATAAAGCCACCGGTGATTTTATTCTCGAAAGAACCGAAAAGGGCTTTGATTCCACTGACAAGAGACGGAAGTTTCAAAGATTCGTTGAATTCATTAACCAAGTAATAAATATCGAGACCGTTCTTCTGAATGTAATTTATAAGTAATTTGAATTCGGGAACCGATTCGATGTCTAGCATCCATTGTTTTAATTCTTCGGTTAAGTTTTCAGTACAATTGAATAATGTTACGGAATTGCGTGTCTTGGGCATAGTACGTCTTCGTCACTTCGATTATTTTCTTCGATATCAAGTCTATAAAGTCTTGGAATTCCTTGGCGAAGGCACCAAGACCTGTGGCTGGAATTTTATAAGCATTCAGGGTGCAACCAGGATAACAAAAATTGCCGAAACGAATTTCATCTATAAAAAGAATGTATTGAGTGTAAGTTATTTCAGAGTAATGAAATCGTCAAAGAAATGAAATTCTTCCCTTCGTATACAATTTGAATCATTATATATAGAAAAAAATTTCATTTCTGAATCTTCTCTAAGAAATCTTTATTTATAAATCTTTTAAAAATTTGACGAATGTAAAGATTTTAATATATGTTAAAAATTTTTTTCTTAACTTTTCAAAAGTCTAAAGTAGTAAGAAAAAAAGTTGATAGATAGATATAAACAAAAATATAACTAGAATATTTACTCACTAATTATTAAATTTTGATGATTTATGCCTGTTTAATACTTGTAAATTCTTATTTGCATTGTTTACAAATGCTTATTTTATAAAATAATGAAAAAGATATGTAACTAATATACCATTAGGCAAATATAATTTCTTACTCACCTTACAAGTTTTTGCAACTAGTTTTTATTACCAGTATATTTTTCAATGTAAATTATTCATTGTAAAGAGTGCTTTCTGTACAACTTATATACAAGTGATAAATATTAATAAGATGAGATTAATTAAAATTCTTCGTAACAATTATCGAATACCTTATTCCATAAATTCTGCTTATAGATGATCATTTAAATATTAATTTTGTAACAGCATAGAAACTTTTAAACATTGTAACATGTAAGAAATATCGTGTTATTTCTTATTATTTAATTGTCAATTTGTTGAAAAAATTTTTTTATTTTTCAATTCCTATATATATCTAAATTAGATTAATTTGGATTTTAATATTTAAAATAGTAAAAAAATTTAATATTTTCGAGCATCATCAATGATGAAAATCGATCGCAAAAGAATGAAATATTATAAATTAATAGATATAGTATATGATATAGATACATATTACAAAGAAAATTTTTATAAACTTCAATTCTTAATTTTCCTTATTCGTGTTAAAATCAACAAAAGATCATAAAGAAATGCAATTAAAATTCATAATGATATTTAATTACAAAATTAAATAACTGAAAAATTACAAAACATGACAAAACATATAAAATTCATAAAACACAAATTTTTTCCTAATCACATCATTCCTAAAAATGAGAATTTAAGTCGTTACGGAAGGAATTAATTCTATTAAAGACGTCACTCTGCCATATAAACACGTCGCATCAACAGGGATTCGACGAGTTCATAGACCGAAGGATCTACGACGCGGAGAAACGGGGACTGTGCTAAGGCAAACGGCTCGCAGACTCTGCGGCAAACAATTCCAATTAACTCAGCGGAATTGGAATAGGGCTCTCGACCGTCTCCTAAATGCAAGGATGTCGAGGACAACGTAACGCGTTCCTCGTCTTTTCTCACTCTTTCGCCTTTTCATATCGTTCCTGGTCCAGAAATTATCTACGTCCATCCAAAAAGTTTGCAAAAACGCATCCGAATTAGAGATTACATTTGACGATAGGAGAAAGAAAAATGAAAAAGTTTGGGAAGAGATCTTTCAACTTTTCTATCTTTATTTATATTTCAATTGGGAAATTTATCGAAAGAAGAGATTTCGGAGATCGTGCTTTTGAAAACAAATAATAGATTGTCGTAAAATCTCTTTTCGTTTTTCTCGCTATTATTATTCTACATCATTCATGATTAAAATATACTTACATATTTCAATAATATTTATATAATTTTATATAAAGGAATATGAAGTTTCCTATAAAGGCAATATCCTAATACTAGAATTTTTACTATTCCGTTTTTCAAAATACTGGTATCCTTGACAAGAAAACAATAAAAATTTATTTAGATGGAATGAGATGAATGAATATAATGAATAATATATAACGGAAATAGAATCACTTCGTTTAACAAATTTTATTTGTAACTGAACAAATAAACTTCAATCGACATATTAATTTTTACATAATTTTATCACGTAGAATAAATTCTCCAAATATTCCGGAAATTATATTAACTTCCTATAAATAATATCTTATTTGTAATGTATGAGAATTTTTTTTTATGGCTATCTTAATACAAAGCTACAAAATTAAATATAAGCACAATGAATAAATATCTTTTATAAAAGAAGCAGTTATGTATCTCTCAAATTATGACCATTAAAATGCGTAGTAAATAAGAAAAAGAAGTTTCGCAACAATATCTTATATATTCACGTGGCTAGCATCGACATAATTCCTCGATCTTTGTCCATGTCGCTCTATGTGTTTCGGGTGGATGGATGAAAGGCGGAGTCGACATGGTTGTATCCGGAGAGGCATAATTCAATCAGGATCTAGAAAGGGGGATGTTTGTCAAGTATGCTTTCTTTGCACGTGCACCGGGTGAATGGCGACCCGTTGGACCATTATCCGCCGCATAATGCTCGTCATCGTCTCGTGATCGTTGGCCAGGGATAGAGAAATAAAGACAGAGAGAGAGAGAGAGTCATAAAGCACTCTCAGGGGTTGGGCCGTCGCCCTAGACAATGCGGTTCTTGAGCTGCTCAGATATTGAAGACGCCCGAAAGCGGTGTGTACCAATCCCGGTGTGTACCTAGCGTCTAGCCCGCTACTCTACATTATTAAATCTCACCCGTGTGGACCAGACACAGGACGATGCCGTTCTTTCCACGGTTACCGTCGACATCTCGCGACGTGCGTCGAATTTTCAACGAGGACTGATCAGTCCAGCCAACGCATACAGCGGTTCGAATCACCGAGAAAAAAACAAAATCTCATTTTTCCATCATATATTTCAATTTTTACATAAAATTGAAATTGAATAACTATATTGTAATAGTGTAGTATAATTAACTCGAGATGTAATACATTAGTGATTTTATTGTTAGCAAATCTTCATAATAATATTTTAAGTTCTTGAAGAAAAATTTTTTTATTTAAATAGAACTTAGATGAAAATAAAAATTTCTTGCATAAAAAATATTACATAGAATTCTATTATATTTTTCATCAATATTAAAAAAGTTATTATGTTAACAAATATTATTTAGTGAAGAGTATTATAATAATATCTATAATATGATATTACATTGTTAATATATAATTATAATAATTTGAAAGTTTAAATTTGGAATTTTTTATTTTTATTTTTATAGAATTCTTTCTAATAAACATTCAAAAATAATGTTTTACATATGATAACAATGAAAATTTTTTAACTATATAAATTTCAAAGTTATTCTATAAAAACGTTTCTTAAAAAGTTGCTAATGATAACCTCTTTTTTTTAAAAAATTCACAAGAATGGAAATTATATATTATATTCTCTTAAATAAAAAATCTAAAAAACAAAATATATAAATTTGAACAAAATTTTTTTTAAAAATGAAAGAAAACTATTGAAAAAGAAAATTATGAATGAAATTTATTAAAATTATACGTAAATATCTCATTAAAGTAGAAATTATATATTTTCCTTCTACGTACAGCAAATATTCCATTCAATATTATTTAAAACAATGTCTTGAATCTAAATATGTCTATTAGATTCAAATAGAATTTGTTCACACTGTTCATAAATTGTCAAAAGTATGTAGCATGTTAATATAATATAGTGACACAAAGCATAGGATATCGAAATCTTCTTGTCGTGTTAGATTTTACTATAGATATTTATTAAGATAAAATATATACTTGGAATAACATATTTATAGATAATAACAAATATTCTATATTAAAACGTATAATTTAAAAAACGTATAAATTATTGTCTTTGGATGCAATTTATTCATGCTTATGTACCATGAAAGTCACATAACATTGAAACATTTTTATCAGAATTTAAAAGCAATAAAATTATATAATATGTTGCATCTTACATCTGAATTATTTATAATTAAATTTAACTATTAGTAATATATTTTTAATCTTATAAATGTATTATACGAGAAAAATAAGATTTGTTCCGTTAGATTAGTAATTCGAACCAGTGTATAACGTGGTGGGATCTTATCGCTTATCATTGCGAATCAAGTTAGCGGCATAAAAGTTTTAAGGGTATATCTTGAAATACGGTGGTAGGAGTAGCAGCGATAATCGACGATTACGTGGAAAATGGTGGATCATATTAAAACAAACACTTCTCTCGAATGCAAGCATGTGGATATAATTTTTTTTCTTCTTTTTTTCTTTGTTTTCTTTTTTTCGTTACACATGTTCGAATTAACACGTAACAATGAGTGAGGACACCTGTTTATATCACTCTTCGATTGATTTGATGCTTATCCTCAAGGTTATTTTATTTTATATTAATTTTTTTTGTTCACGTGAAAGTGTAATATAAATATAATCTACTTGTAATTAATAAAATATCTTTGTGGAAGTACTAATTTTTGAGATTAAAACGAAATCTATTGATATTGATTCCAGGAAAGATATTTGTTTTGTTTCTAAAAATTAGAATAATAAGATTATTATTCGATTTTAAGAAATCGAAGTACTTTTTGCGTAAAACTTTTATCAATAATGGAAAATAATTCTAGAAATTAATTTTCATGTTGCAATTGTGAACAATTTTACATTTTAATGAAATTATTTCAAACAAATTTCATATTTCTCCTTAAATTATATTTTTTAATTTTTGTAAAAGTTTTAAAGTCATACTTCATAAATTACTTCCATTATAAAGAATTCCTTGTAATCCCTTATATGATATAAAAAAAATTGGATTTTATGAAATATTTTTTAATTATAGAAATTACTTATTTATTCTAAGTTTCTGCAAATATATAATTTCTTTTCTCTACTGAAAAGAAAGAGTTTTAATTGATCACAATTTTTGAACCGATGAACAAACAAAACAAAGTTTTAAAACTATATGTACTCTAATGTCCTAACTTAACATTTTCTTAAGAATATGTTTGAATATTTCTACATGTCTAAGACGTAAATAATTCACACTTTTCAAATGTTTCGAATTACTAAGTATAATCTTAACTTTATAACTTAATAATTGCTTGAGACATAAATCAATCTTATTTTCAAATGGGACAAAA